GTTTTATAATTTCACTGAAAAGCTACAAGACTTTTTGGGGAAAAAAAAATTTACACAAAAAATCCTTCAGTGCTGTCAGACACTGTAATGTCATTAAAATCCTGACCCTTCACAGCTCAACAAGAGCAAAGAACAAAAGCGAGGCCTTCTGATTTTCATTCCAATTTTCTCAACTACATGGACTGTTCTCTTCACAAATCAAGAGACTTTGTCAGTGTTAGTGATGATAGAAACAACGAAGCAATTGAAAAAACATCACCAAATTAAAAGTTATATTTTGATTTCTCATGGTGATCCCTCCTTACTTTTTGCAAGTGTACGTATGAACATTTTTTGGTTCATATAGAGTTTCATATGCATCAAATTAAATTCAGTACTTGAAATTGTCTTTGGTAATGAACTAAATGTATTTGTGACGAGCTAGGAACAGGCTGTTTCAGAAAGTTGCAGGGTTTATGAAAGTAACATCACACAGGAAGAGATCACAAGAGGAATGATGGAAAATCAGTGTGAAGAGGGAAAAACAGGGAGAAGAAACAAGAGTTGAAAGGGAGCTGAGAGAACAAACCACACATCATACAGACACCAGGGAGAGGAGTTGAGGAAACCGAAAAATGGGTCACAGAGTCAATAGGTGTGAATTTGTAGCCCTACTAGACAAGTTGTATTTCTGCTCATCACATCAAGAACAGCTACTTCCACCAAAACAAAAGACAGAATAGCCATAAATCATCTTCCTCTCCTCCAAAAGCCAAGATTTTCAGAGAGTACAGAGAGTTTTCCTCCTCACCACTTACATCTCATTTGCCAACACCTCCCTGGATAGAACAACACTAGCTCCTAGCGAGTCCAAATTATACAGGCAGATCTTTGGACAGAAATTTTAATCTCCAGTGTATCTTCTTCCAACAGCCACAGGTAAATATCTTACAATGCTGCATATCGGACATTTTCAGAACACGGTACCTATATCACTACCAGTACACACGTTATACTGAAGCAGTACAGAAACACTGTCTTGAACAGCTAAACACCTCTGCTACTGCCACTGCCATGAATGGCGATATGCAAGGAAATGAGATTTGAAAAGTCTGCCTTAAGTCTCATGTAACAAGCGGTACTGAAGGTGAACTAGTCACTCCATTATTTTCTTTGCAGCTAGAATCTTTTGTTCTTCCACTCCGCTAATGCAAACACTGGACTCCCTCTCCATTGATCATGGCAAAAAAATCCAATACACTTATAAAATTTGCTACTGGTTTTCACGCTAATTATCTCTTTGTTGTCTTTCCATTTCTTTCTTATAAAGCTACAGAGATCTTTTTCCCCCCTTATAATCCCTATGACTTGTGAAGAAGGCTCTTTCCAGTCCCCTAAAACAAGCCACCAAACCACTCGCGCATCAGAGCTAAGTGAAGACGTTAATTTTCACCCTCAAACACCAAAAGACTTGGAAGCCTTTCGGCTTCCAAATACAACGCTTCTCCCCACCATAGTGCCACAGCTACAGCAAGCAAAGGTGCTAACTGGCTTGACTGTCTTCTCTTATTAACGGAAGGCTACTGCTGACAAGGGGCTTTTGATAAAGATTTATTTCCTCTGGAATGCCCCAACCATCAAAACAAGCCCCGACTTGCTCATCTACCAGGCATACTGCAAAGTAACACAAATGGCCAACATGGTAGTTTAGAAGGCACGCCTAAGAGCTGCTAAGACTAGAAATCTGAACGTGGTATAGATCACAGGGCTGGTGATCAAACGAGGTATAGGAAGAAGGAAGATTTATTTTTGCTTTGGACAATTTTTATATTTGCACTCTTGAGTAACTGTTAAGCTGTTATATTCTTATACACAGATCAAGAGGACTTAAAGCTTGGGTAAATTTTTTTATATACCATATGTTTCAAACATCAGGAAAACAAACATTGGTAGATTGTATAGCTGCTATTAAACACTGACAGTTAAATAATAAAGATTTTTAGCTTACCTGGGTTTCTACTTACAATCCCAGAACATGAACTTTTTCAGCAACGAACACAGTTTAATCAGAATTCTTAGTATCAGCTTTGGTGACCACACCTTCCTTAGCCAACAAAAGCAGAACACTTTCTTTTGCGCACTCAGGCATATATCAATTAAAAAAACAGATCCTTGTAAGATTAACAAAAATGTCTTCCTTTTATCATCTCACAATCAAATTTTCCAATTGATATGCAGCAAAATCCCCCATGCAAGTAGTTTTTAATGTTGTAGATTCTCTTTCTAAGCACTTGACCAAATACTAATCAACCTGTCCCAGAACAGTAAAATATAGCTCTTACTAAGGCTTTTCAGCACCAATCCTCAAACACTTCACAAAGTTGCCATTATCCATTACTGCTAACCCCAGAGACACGATACCCCACTCTGTTTTACCCAACAAGTTAATGACAGAGCTAAAAATAGAATCCATGCTTCCTCAGCCCCAGGTCAGTACTACTTCCACCCTGCCATAGTGCCTGATATGTCTTTGAGAACAATCCAAGCCCAAACTGAAATTCAACAGTCACTTCTACTTAGACAAAGAAAACCTAAAACCCTCTGTTTGTCGTAACACAGTCAACTACCACAGCTCCTGTGTGCTGCGTTTCAAGAAATCCGAAGAGGTCTTCAGAGCACTTATTGAGGATGTGTCTGTACTCTACAGCAGCAGGACACTTCTCAGACTAATTAGCTCATGTGGAGCTTCCTCACTGTATTGCTTCTGAGCAAGTTCATTTATCTTCATATCACATTACGCAGTGTAGATACACCCTCACACTAATCAATTTCTCTAGGTAAGGCATACAGGCTTGATGAAGCAAAAGGAGCCTAAGAGACATTATTATGAACAAATGTTCTTACAGTACAATCACTTATATTTCCAGTTGACTCACAGGTTTAAATTCTTCATATAGCAGAATGGATTTAAACTAAAATGGGAAAAAATGCATTGTTCTGCTCATGTCAGAAAGAGAAATATCAATAACAGCTTAGGTGAAATTTGGTGAGGAGGTGCAAAAGGGTCTTCTCCCCTAGCATGAGGGATGTGATTTGCTGTTCTTCAGAAGAAAAATTAACAATAGCCTGAATGACAGAGAAGCATCACATTCCAAAAATACGTTTGCATTGAAAACCTGCTTAAGTTTAGCCACAAATTTGCCACACACTTTGTCTACATTAAGTGTGTTTAAAGAGTGTTTCTCTTTTGCATACCTTCCTGGAGTCTTACTCTTGACTCAATTTTTGATTCACTCTGTTTCTGTTGTCAGCAACTATCTGTAAGAATCACTAACACAGTACACATTTTTACATTCCTCCAACACCGGCTTGCTACAGAAGAATTAGAGGTTCAAGCTTACTTTGTCAGTGATTTATACAATTACTTACACAAGCCTCACATGACAGAAAGTTTCCGTTTTTCAGCTGGTATAAAATACACACACCCTCACCACCCCAGAAGAATGCTACCGTAAAAAAAAAAGTGAACTCTAACGGTCGAGAAACTAAAGTACTTCTCTTACCCTTGCACCCAAATGCTGTACGATATTGCCTTCAACTAACCAATCGCACCTTATTTTTTTCCAGAGGATCTTTTCCTTGTTCTAAGGATAGGACAGACAGCGCTAACACTGAATAAGCACTCATTCAATACTTCATTTCATCCTCATTGTTCACTATGTCACATCTTTGTATGATTTACAGCACCTACATCTAGAATCGTAACTAGAAAACTTCTCATTTCTCTGTCGATCACTATTAGGTACCTGAATTATTTCCTTAAACTAATTACTCCACAGCACCTCCATCAGACAATTTTATGATTCTTGTTTTCAGGTAGCAAACTGGGAGACAGTGATGTGTATCAGGATTGCCCGTAATTAGAGATGCTTGACTTGAGACGCTTTGGGTCTCTCTTCAGAGGATAGAGCAATTAAACAGCACTTTGTCAGTACAAAGTACAACTTCAATCTATTTCAGTGCTATCATGTGTTTTCAAAGCTGACATTAATCAGTCCCAAGAGTCTGAACTCAGAAAATGAGAAGTACACAACTAATGGCCATATTTAAAAAATGCGGTTGAAGTGACTCACCCAACCTCACACAGGAGCTCTATGGCTGAATTAAGATTTGGTTCTAACCCTCCAGAACAGCATCCCAACAGTCCCAGCTTTAAAACCAATCTCTTTTTGTGTTATTCTCTCCCGTCCTCACCTACCAGGTCTCATCCACCTTCAGTCATCATGAGGAAGCAGATCTAAAGGAAACAACCTCATTAATTAGCACACTTGATTAATTTCCTAAATGCTGTCTACCTGGTCTTCCTGAGAATAGCAGTGTTTTGTGGATAAAGAGTGAGTCTGAAATGGCATCAGCATATGCCATTTTAAGCCAGAAATATAATGTGACCAAACCGAGTTTGCACAAACAACTTCAATTCTGGCATTTCCTACCTGTTGAGAACTTTGCATTGCATCACTGTCAAAGAACTCTACGTTCCCGAAATTTTTGTCTCACAGAGTCTCAAATAACAATATAAGATTTAAATTAACATTTGTGTCTCCATCATCTCACTTGCTACATTTGCAGCTTCAAGCTTGAGGAACCCCTACTATATAGGGCCTCTTTATACCAAACACCATCCAAACAATCACTGCAAGGACAGACCTTCACCACAAAGCTAATGGTCTATGAGATAACCAGTACACAGCATACAAAAATTATACAGTTAGGAATAACAGTGCAGCAATATCTCCTAACACCATTTTCTATCAGAAAGCTTTCTATCACCTCAGAAAATTAAGCTTCTTTCAGTTTAACCAATGCCAGCAGATAACATATCACTATTTCCTTTGCTTGACACCAACACAATACCCAAGCTTTAATTCTAGAATTTTTAACAAGCCACAATAGTATTACATTGTACTCAGTGTTTTGCCACATGACTTCATCATAAATAAACATTTGTTTGAACTTCTGTTTAAAAAAAAGCATTCAAAAGCAAAATGAAAACTCACCTCATTTCCACCAACGGCTTTGGTTAAAATTACTGCAGAAGACACAGGAGGTGGCATGCAGCCTACTGTCTGCAAGCTGAAAACAACAAAAATAAATGTTACATTCCTCACATGATGCAAACACTAAAACCTTAAAATACAAAATAGCTGAGTAGAAACAATCATCTTATCACCTGCGTAACCCTATCAGTTTGTGTTACAGTTAGAGCCCTGCATCAGGTGGCAGGATTTCTATGCCCCCTCTTACCAACCACCACAGTGAAGAATCATGTCACCATTTAAAAACCCAAACACGTAACCTCTCTGTGACTCCATTTCCCCATCTGTAGTGCTGTATCTACCGTTCACAAAGATATCTACACATCTATCACAAAGATAACTGCACCACGTGTCCTGATGTAGTAAAGTTTGTAGTGTGTTCTGAGATACCTGTAGCTATTTGGAAAAAAAAAAATAAGGATGTACACTCCTATTTTCTTGAAAAAGCTGTTCAGCGATAAAAACATTTACTGCTAAGTAGAAGAGTTAGAAGAACCATGCTCACTATACTTTGTTTTTCATCAACCTCTACTAAAAAAATTTAAAAAAAAAAAAAAAATCACAATTAAGCCTTTTATTTCCTGAACATTAAAAGGCCATCAAACATTTCATTTTTATGGACATTTTCACTTCTTGGTAAAAATCACCACACTTCCATTAATCAAAACATCACAAGCTTTCTCCTGTGTTCTAGAAGTCTAAAATACACTATTATTATTATCTATCATTTTTTCCATTGTTTATGCAGCAAAATTATCGATGTATATAGTAAATGCTGTTGCAAACTAAGAAAAAGAGTGCTGAGTTTTCCTTTGTTTCAAAGACAGTCCACAAAAACCAGTAATTACAAAAACTAGCTGTATCAAATGTGCATTTAGAAACAACAAGAACATACCACAACAGATTACAATTAAATTTGGAGCCAAGTAAAACAGGGCTTCTGAAGAAAAACTGTGTTGACTTAGAAGGAATAGCAAGGCACGGAATAAAACAGTCTGCGAAACCCCCAAACACATCAAACCTATATATGTTTTCAAGTATTGGAGTTTGAGACAGTATTCTAGTTCAGAACAATTAATTACTAGTGGTGAACTAATTCACACTTGTAACTGTGTTAGTCTATCCCCGAGAAATGCAGTGTCAAAAAGCTGTAGCAAACAGAAGTATTAAATCCAAACAACAGGGAACATATTACAGTACAACTGATATGCCACAAATATACAAAAAGCTTAAATAGAAGAAACAGGTAAATGACAATGATGGTATTCAGTTTGTCAGCTACAGACACTGTGGAAAAGGAAAGAGGCAACCAATGTCAGCATTATATAAATCCAATCACAAAGTGCCAAGCACCACCTTGGAAGTATATAGTACCTTTAGCTTCCAGTGAAGTAAGCCACGGAAGCAGAGAGTTGTCAGCACTTAGCAGGATAAGCTGATATTGAAAAGAAACACAGGAAAAAAAAATGGTGTGGAAAAGTTTGGAAAAATATATACAAAAATACACGGCAGATAAACAGATGGCAAGTCTGATGTCCATCCCCTACATCGGCTGCGATACCATTCTCTCTCTTCTATGTGATCTCTTGGCAGCCAGCTCCTTGAACTTCTCACCTGCACTAATAAGGGGTGGATTAAGTTCAAAGTTATCCAGAGACGTACGAAATACGTGCAAGGGCATTCATCTCAGCTGGCATGGATTTTCCACACTATAAGGGAAAGGTTTAATAATGCAATCTCTGTTAACCCTCTCAAATTTAAAATAATACATTTGGAATTAAAAAAAAAAAAAATCACTATCAAGCTGTGCTTTTAAATATCCTTCCTATGAAAATATTAATCTACAAAATAACTAGTACACACTAAATGGAAATACTTTTAATCAGGTGTATTGAAACATGCATCTACGAACTTGCTTTGTATCAACTACACACAATGCTAAATATACAAATTTCTCTAATGGCCAACAGATTGCTACAGATAACAACCAACGGACTAAACATGCGTGATGAGGAAGTAATTTTGACTAAGCCCATCTTGCTCCCTCCCATTTTTCATCAGCGTATTTCAGTGTTTCTAGGGAGTAAAAACTACAGCTGCGAGGCATTAGGATGAACTTTTCGTTACACAGAGCGGCCAAAGCACAGCCAGTTCCTCACATCGGCTCCTCACTCTCCTTTCACATACCCATATAGGGACGCGCGAGTGCCCGCTTTAAAACGTGTTATCCTGGAATTAGGACAGAGCTCAGGATCTTCTGCACCTGCATAGCACTGAAGGTACAGCTCCCACCAGGCTCCCTTTGCAGTGGATGCCTTCAGAGCCACACCACAGCTGCTGCTCTGAGCCTGTCCTCAACAGCAGTATTGATCAAGAAAGCACTCTTTCAAAAAACAACCAAAAAATCCAAAACAAACCACCTTCATTAAAGTCCTCAATCTGACCATTCTTTGAATGAAGTCTCAATATAACAGAGTTACTGCACTAAAACATAAAATACAGAGAAAACAGAAATAGTACTCAAGGAACAAGTGCTTGCAAGGCAGCTTGAAACATACAGAAGTATACTAGCTCACCGGTAAAACACAGACGTGCCTTCACGAAAAATAAGGTTGGTTTAGGCTCCATGTTTAGGGAGATATACATCCAAGTGTTTCTTTTTTTAAAAAATACATATCTATGTAGTTTTACATGCAGTTTCACAGGTGTGTACGTATATACATGCCACGTGTACATGCGCATGTAACAGATCACGTCCCTTAAGTACCAAGAACCAAAGTGGCACAAGAGTCATAGGAAAGAAGGGATGAGAAGCACTGCGAGGAACAAAACCCACAAAAATCTCTTGCGCTGTGCACTTCAGAAATTGAGACTCCCATGGATTAGGAGGGAGTTTTGGCTCACTGTGGAAAAATCACATCTCTGTTCTAGCTGAGGAAGAACTTCACAATGATTTTACTGTAAAGAATAATCTTTACTATGAATAGCCAAACACAAAAGGACATTGTATAGCAACGTTGTTATTTCTTCAATGTACTAACACTGTTAAGCCAAACAGTGCTAACTTTTAAATGACGTCATCTCAATTTCACCTTCTCGGTATCATTTGGACCACTTCACACTTGGTGGAACACCTGGAGAAGCCTCTCAAAAACAAAACACAATGTTCTTTTATGTTTAGGCCTTGTAAAAACACACACATGAGCAGCTTTATCATTAAACTTTTAAGACAGGGAACTCTCCCCAAGCAATGTTTCACCAAGCAGTAAGAAACAATAGTGACTCTCTAAGTAGTTTTCCAAAATAATTTATTTTTGCATTCAAACATTCCAGTATAGCTGCATGGCGCTAGGTATTGACCTTTGATTCTGAAAAAAGCTTTCTATTTTTTGGATTTTTCATAACATCTATCGCTACTGCACCACCAATGCAGCTTTGGAAGCGCGTATCAGCAGAGTACACCGAAGACTTAAAACACATTGTTTTCATGGCAACTTAGCTTCTGCTCATCTCAAAGTTCTCCTCCTACAAAAACTTTACTTTTTTTTTTTTTTCCTCTCTCCGTAATTTAGCTAGGAGCAGATACTGAACCCCAATCCGGACACATGCAAGAGCTACTCACTACAGACTGTTTAAAAACAGAACGGAACACCTGTACATGGCATACACAGTATTTATTCACCAACTTACGTTATTCCTTCAGCATTCCTTTTCTTTCCTCCCCATCCTTCTTAAGACCCAGTACATCGCTTCAGCTGCATTTTGTGAAAGAGAAAGCTAACCTGTTGCAAGCTCCCTATATCTGAAACCAACTGACCAGATTTTCTAAAAATGAGACCAGGTTCCTGAAAGGATAATCTTGTGCACGTACTGTGTTTTCAACAGCAAAGTGCTGAAGCACAAAAACAACCAGCAAAATCTGTTCACAATACAAGTCTCAAAACACTCACTGCAGGATAAGCAGCCCTTTTAAGAAGACAGCTACAAATATATTTCACTCCATTATGCTTAAACATACCCTTTTAAAAGCCATTCATTTATAGGTGTGATTGATAATAGCTGAAGAAAGAGCCATATTGCTGTTGGGAAGAACACAAGTGTAAAAATCTGGACAAAAAGGTGTAGTTTCACATGCATCAAAGCACTTGTCAGCTCCTGCAAAAGAAAAAGAAGAGAGGAAGTTGCAGTCATAACAGCTGAAGTAAGATCACGTTTGTGCTTTTAAAACTAGGATCATCTTTATAATACAAAGAGAGTGCACGTCAAAAAGGCACCTTTAGGGATCATCTGATCTCCTCTTTAATAATGAAGTACATCCAGACAACATAAAAGCTCTGTCTGCTCCTGGGCATTTTTCCAAAAGAATTGTCCAACACTTCAATAATAGTGTGGTTCTCATAACGGGAGCTTTTCAGCAGGCAGCCTTAGCACTTTGTCACTGCTTCAAAACCTGTGTTAACTATGCTGACGGCCTGTTTACTTTATTGACTGCTGATACCAAGAGGAAGGGAAACTTGTAGTGTCCACGTGATTTCAGGTTTCTCTAGTCTAAAGAGAGCCACAAACTGTGATTTATACCGTGCAAAAGGGATGCTTACATTACAAACAGTCATCACTTGATGATTTGTGGTGGGTGGTTTGTTTTTCTTTTTAAGAAAGGACTAACAAACATAAAAAGCAAAGTAATCTGTAGCAGATTTTGATTATTTATTGTATCCACAGATAGGAAATTCACACAAAAAAATTAGGCTGAATAAGAATGGCAAAAAAAGAATACCATGACCATAAGAAGCTAACAACAGCTAAGTCATAAAATTCAGAGAAATAAAGTGCAAGACACCACTGGAGACTGAGAAAACAACAATAAAAAAATTAATTTTAAATAGTGTAAGAGCACTCCAGAGAGGTGATCCTTATGCAGTAAATTCCTCAGTTATCTCTGTGTCTCTCTGTTTCTGTCTTTTCAGGCACTTCAATAATCTTCTACACAGTTTTTGAGTACAAGGACAAAGCCTTGTACGTTTCAGCTCAGGTCCACTCTCATGGATTGCAATGTAAACAGCCCTTTTCCTCTCTCCCAAGATAAACTTGCACTCTTTTCAAGTAAACAATGCATCAGGAAAAGAATGGATGGCACTCTTTTTCAAAATCTAATTTGCTAGGATTCTCCAGCTGACATCCCAGATGCATTAAAAAAATAACCAAACAATATAAAAAAGTTTATGTCCATGTACAGTAATGCAGCAGCCAATCTTCAAATGCCTCCCTCTCTCAGCTTCAAAACAGTTCAACTTTCGTGAAACACAATTAAACATTGCATTTTCAACCATCCAAACGCACATTGATGTAATTATACATCTGGAATTACTAGCAATTCAGCACTGTGTCCCTGTTACTTTCTTTCTCTTAATAAAATTTGGGTTAGGGGGAAAAAAGAAAATCTTCCACAAAAAAAATACACATCCATTCATATCCTACTCTTAAAGTTATCCAAAACACGAACTTAAAAACACACATCTTGATCTAGTTTTACCAAGAAAGTATCATAAAATTCAGTGCTTGGTTAACAGAATGAAATATTTTTTTTTTTAAATAAAGCAAGCTCTTAAGCAGGCTAGTATCACTCTGCATGAAAAAACAGGCCTTCTTCACACATAACCTGTCACAGTACCTATGACATTACAAATAGCTTCACTGTAGTACTACTTCATCTTGTCTCAAAAAGAAAGCAAAAATAAAATATCTAGTAGTAGAAACACGTTCTGTGCAGAAAGAAAAGATACCTGGAAATACCTGCATAGAAGTGTACCTTTTAAAGTCAGCAATATAATTGAGAAAAACCAAAGCAAGTGACTTCTTTCAGCAAAGCTGCTAATTCCTCCTCCTTTCCTGCCAAGTCACCTCCAGCCCCAGATTTCCTAACAGACCAATCTATGAAGGCACCCCCGATCTAGGCATCATCACACACACAGAAGTGTCCTTTTAATTTAATATTTTTACAATTGAAAAGTACCTTAAAAACAGATGATTTGAAGAAAACTCTGTGATACTTTCAAAAGCAAAATCCAAGATAAAAACTTGGGAAAGACTGGTTAGAGCTCCCAGGGAGCAAGGAAGGTGATTACAACACAGTCAACCTGGTGCATGAAGGAATGCTGTCCTAGCGGAGCAGGTCTTTGCAGATCTAAATTACTAGTCTATCCACAAGGGCTTGTCCCAAAACACATCCATCACTGTAGCCCTCAAAAAAGCAGAAGTGTCAGAAAAGTTACCAGAAGCTGCTGGTTATGACTCTGTTTCTGCACACCAGGTAGAACAGGTTACCTTGTCTTTCCCAGTATTTCAGACCCTTCAGAGAGCTTATCCTCGCCTCTTGCTGGTCAGCGTGGGTCCCATGCTTAGATGGTCATAGCTGGACTCTGGGCAAATACCCACACAGAGCAAACAGTGTGTGCAGTGGCTTGCCAAATTCCTCATTGAAATTAATAACTCAAGTACGTGATTTAATCTCTGGGGCCCTACAGGAGGTATTTGCTTTAAAAGAGCAATCTATCCAGTCACTGAAAACTGAAACAGCATTATATTAAGGTGGAATCAAATGTTCTTCTCATTCCTGGACACAGACTATTTCTACAAATGTAAGAGGACCTCAGTCACCTCATTTGAAAATGTAACAAGGCCATGCACAGACAAGCTCTCCCTGAACGCTGCCAATTATTTCGTAAAATGCTTTCTGAATGCGTGTTAGCAAATTATTTTAAGCATGCGCTTTCAGAGCAGATAAAACCAGAAATAAAACCTTAAAAGAGCATCAGCTATTTCTAATTTTGTCAGATTTATGAGACCTCCCTTAACACTTACACAACTTTTTAATCATTTCATAAAGCATACCAAACACTAGTTTCGATCTAATTAATATATTATCCAAAGTAGAAAAACCGACACACAAGAAAGAACTAATAAAGACAAAGGCAGAAACTATTTACTTTGCAATCCAATAAAAAGGTATATTAACTAACAGCACCAACTTTAGGTTGCATCTTAAAAAATTAAAACACGCCCCAAAGTATTTTAATAAAATCACGACCTGGCCTCCTAACACATTTAAGGATTGTTTTTAATATACATTTTTAGAAAGTAAGAGCACAAGGTACAATGAGTAAAATGTTTTTCTTCCTCTTTATCTTCTATCCCCACAGCAGAAATTCAGAAAAGCCTTCGCTTCTTGATGGAACATAAAGCTGGATGTACAGCACCAGTCCTAACTGATGCTTCCAAAACAATCTGAGATCAGCTACCTGGACATAAACATTATCTCCTGTAAAAACCTCATTTACATCAACATATTGCTTTTAGAACCACAGAGCAGAAAAAGCTATGCAAGTTTAAAGTAGGACATGACACATTGCCCAGGAATCTGTCCGTCATGTTACCTTAACTGGAAAAAGTTAGATATACACTAGCACTGAGAAATCTAATCAAGACTTTGATAATGCTACTGATTTCACTCTCACTCACAGCTGCTTTACAAATGTAGTTTCAAGGATACCAACTAGTGAAATGGAAAGAAGTTTTACATACTTTCTCTGCATGCAAAGATTCCTAACCCTGAAAGCAGAAAACTCCACTCCATTAGTACTACTCCAGCTTTGTGTTTTGGGTCCTCTTCTCTGTGGAAGAAAGTGCCTCTCTACAGCCTGTTTCCATTAGGATTAATTACTGTCCTAGGCAAATTGTCCCAGATAACATGGTGGTTCTTGCTTCCCCATAAGACCACAAGGCTCTAAATAGCTGCTACAGAATTGACTGAAGTTCTTCACTTCACTTACACTGTGTCCTGGCAGAACCAGAGGCCCTAGTCCCAGAACTGCCAGCAGACGCAGGAGAGGGCTGGCATCAATTCAAACATCGCCTCCATTTGAAACTTTTATCACTATAACCATGATACAGGTATAGAAACTTTTTTTTTGTTGAATGCACGCTGTTCCTTGAAATCCCAGTTTGCCCAGAAGATACCTGGACAATAGCACGATGATTCTTTTAGGCAGTAGTACCATGCAACATGTGAATGACAACACCTGTTAGCATAGCCAACAGCGTAAAAGGAATCGAGAAACTAGCCTAGCAGAGATATGTAGTGTTTCACTTCAACTCTGCCTGCTCCTTCTCTTCTTGGCACGTAGCCATAACTTCATTTCTCCATGCTTCCTTTACACGTCACTAAGAGGTTCTCCCCGTCATCTCTTCTTACTCCCAGATTGTTTGTCTTTGAAAAATGTGTGACTCACAACTTGAAACAATTGTCAGCATCTGTGATATGCAGCAGAGCAGCAGAGTGTAGGCACTTCAAGTCCACCTCTCCACAACTAAATCTTATACGAAAAGATGGCCCAGACTTTGTACCTGTACATTGGCCTTGCATCTGCAGAGGAACCCTTTTGTGTTGATAGTAGCTGCCTGCGTCTACCCAATGTAGTAACTTAAAAGCCACCAGATCTTTGCTTGCATCAATCCTGTAGTGACTAGCCTAAACAGTTTTACTTAGAGAGCATGCCAGCAGGTGAGATGAAAGAGAGAGGTAGAGAGCTCACACCTTCTCCTCATGTCCTACAGAGACATGGAGACTCCACACAGCCCCTCTCTGCCTACAAAGTTCTACCCACGAAGCTCCCTACAAAGTTCTACCCACAAAGTTCCATCCTAGGATTCACGCAGTTTTCTGGCCTGTATCTCAGCTGTGCAGTGGGGAAGCCAAGGTGCAGAAGGGATGGCAGAAGGCAGGTGCTAGTGTGCTCCTGGGTCTCACCCTGATTTGGGTTTGGGACACATCCAGAGTGTAGATCCAGTCTCAAAGTTATGCTCAGCACTTCCATTTAGCCAAAGCCCTGCAAAGTCAAGCAGCCACCCTCTATGGAAGGGTGAAATTTATTCACACTATCCTTCTCATCAGGTTCATTACTTTGTGAAGAATTTTCTGAAATCAAGGAGGAGTTATTCCATAAATGTCTAATATTTATCTTCTTGTTAGCTGTTCTCCCAGCATCAACAACAGCATAATAATTAAATATTCCAATTACATTCCAACCTGATCAAAAGCAACACAAAACTTTTTAAAGCAAAGCAAGAATGAAGCAATGAAAAATTACAATACCTCAGTTCTTAAGGAGAGTCCACTGTTAAAGAATATAGCTGAAACAGCAATGTAAGTTATGGTAATTTCTGGTTTCAAGGGTCCTAAAAAATACAGACATAGAGAACAAAGTGAACTATAGTCAAAGAGATAATGATATGCATACATCAAAGTAAATAAGAGTACTTAGGAAAGTACCTGGAGAAAATCTAATCATTCAAGTTTCCAATAAAAAGAAAGGGGTTTGTATTAAGTCACAGAAAGCATGCTATTCATTTTTAAATAAAGGCAAACGAATGAGTAGAGAGTGAGGTATGATGTGACACAAATTTGGCTTCTGTGATTACAGGCCACCGGGAACTAATGGGTAAATTCTGGATATGTGAAAACAGGAAATTTTTCACAGTTCTGTTACCAGAGTATCCCTATAGCATCAAACACAAACCACACACTCAAATAAAAATATTAGCTGCTCCCTCCACAGAGCCATTGATATCATTGACATATCTACCTCTCACTTCTTCCTTGCAACGCAGGCACCCGGTTGGCTGCCTGCACAGAGGGAACCAAATCATACCTTGCAGTGTTTTCCTTGGGGCAACACAATTGTGCATTATTCCCTCGCAACAGGGCTGTGGCAAAATGGTTCATTCCAGCCCTACAATAACACATTTCACACTGCTGCAGTGAGATCAGCAAGGGCAGATGCCTGCACCTCCAAGGGTTCCACTATATTAAAGACTTACATTTGTATATATTTATATACTTTTTTTCCAGCAGATTAAAATAAAATACTTTTTACACTCCTATAAAAATGATGAATGCTCTTAATACGCTTTGCCTTCGGAGGCCACCAAGTGCAAAATGTATATACTCCTTTTTTCATAAGCATTCAACCAGTTGTTATATTAGAAAGAAAATACTAGCAGTCTACTTAGGACCAAACTAATATCCTAACTCTACAAGTGACAGTAAGTTGTCATGAGCAAAACTGCAGCAGCAAACAAGCAAGCCTTTACTCGACGCTCCAGAATAGAAGATCCTTTCTGCTTTCTCGGATGAATGATACATTGATGGTCACACTGGAGTAAGGTCAATGATCCTTAACTTAGAGGGATTTGATCATACACCGAGTCTAATTAAATTTGCATCTCAAGTCATTTAAACCCAAATCCTACTCTCAGAGAGGTCTCTGTTGATGAGACACTAAAACTGCCTGTGTTAAATACAAAAAATAAACCAAACAACCTATACAAAGCGCAAGATAAAAATAAGCCAGGACATGCAAGAGTTAAAGTTGCAACAAAGCACATGGTTAGTTGCAAAATTATGGCATGTTAACTTAATAGCACGGGGTGAGGGGGGGAAACAGAAAAATTATATAAATACAGTTATAGAGAAAACTATTTATATGTATAGAATTGTATCATCTTTCTTTTAGAACCTTTTAGAAGATTAGAGCATATATGTACATGCACAGTGGGCAGACAAGCAGTGGGTTAGTTAGTCTCACTAAGAGGTTCTTCCAGGACTCAATTTTTCTATTCGAGGGTTTTTCACTGGGCTACCTGAACTCTTACAGAGGAGGAACCTCTACCACTAGAGCAACCACATATTCATGGAGCACGGGGAGCTCGGTCAGAACAGATTTCCTTCATCTCTTGTGCAAAAGACTGGTCAGAAAAGCTCTTTTCACAAAGGAACTAAATAGGCTTATTCATTAAATAGGAAAACACACAAAAAGGGCTTGGCTTATTCCCTGGAGGTGGCAACGGTACAAACCTTTGTTATTTGTGGCACAGTGTTCCATTGGTATGGACACTGGACCATCCATACCGTTCAGTAAAGCCCTGCAAATTACAGTGCGTGCTTTTGTCAGTTGGAAGATGACAAACTAAGTTGGGGGTTTTTTTCATACGATGATATTTCCCACTCCCTCACTTTTTTTTTTTTTCCCCCTCAGAGCACTGAGATCAGGTAGCTTCAGAAGACAGATACCACTTTGGGGAACGTGTGCTCACGAGTTTCAATCAATGCTCACAAGATTTTTCAAACAAGTTGTCCCAGGAACAATACCATGTGAAAGCTTGACATCTCTTTGCAGTAGGATAATTAAATGAAGTGCTCCATCATAGTGCTTCCATGCAGGAAGTAAGCTGAGGAAAAATTATTTCCTATTCTAGTTAAAAGGATCTCCCACACTGCTGCTAACAATTAGCATGACAATCAAACCAGAAAGGAACAAACCACCCAATACTATCAATTTAAAGTTGTCTTTAAGGTCTGCTGAAGACACAGCATGGATCCTGCAAGAAGCTCCATGTGGGTCCCATTTACCTGTGCAAAACAGCACACAGATGTTAGAGGGGATCCTTG